TTGCTCAGCCAAAGGATACGTCTCTTAGCTCTGAATCCTCTGAGATCAACAGGACATAAAAAAAACCTTTCCCCTCTCCCAGATGTGTCAACAGAACACCAAAGTCCTGGGTCCAGGCTGCCTATTTGTAGTCACTCCCATGCTGCTAGTACACAACTCTCCAAAATAGGATATGCTTGATTAGTGCCATCCAATCTTAATTTTTCCTTCAGTCTGGAGGCCTTTGAAAAAGCCTTACTGCAAGAGCTAGAGTATTAAAAGAATATCCCAAACAGAACATGCAATGGTGATTTTTTTATAAAACACAACTGACATCCTTAGGTATGTCCTGGGTGTTCCACCTCATCATACACCCTTTACATTGTATGACAGACCTGCCAGGAAAATGTTGCTTTATTTTTCTTAAAGCCATGTCCAGAGCCACCCACAATCATTCATGATTATACATCTGAAATGCATGGCAGTAGAGTGTTGCCAAGAAGTCATGCTAGTTGAGCCTTAATTTAAGTAGGAACAACAGCTAAGGAAAGACAGTTTTACAGAATTTTCCAAAATACAGTGGTGCCTCGCAAGACGAAAAGAATCCGTTCTGTGAGTCTCTTCGTCTAGCGGTTTTTTCGTCTTGCGAAGCAAGCCCATTGACGGATTAGCGGATTAGCACTATTAGCGGCTTATCGGATAAGCGGCTTGGAAAAAGGGGGGGGAGGAAAAAAACCCGCAGGAACTCGCAAGACATTTTCGTCTTGCGAAGCAAGCCCATAGGAGATTCGTTTTGCGAAGCACCTCCAAAACGGAAAACTCTTTCGTCTAGCGAGTTTTCCGTCTTGCGAGGCATTCGTCTCGCGGGGCACCACTGTAAACATGGAGAAAATGTGAGTTTTACACCACAGCACAACTTCCACAATGGAAAGTTTACTCAATATGATAATGCCTACATATTTTCTAATACAAAACATGCAACACGGGCCTCCCAATGACCTCTAATGAACAATGGTTGCAATCCTATGCACACTTCCTTGGCGGTGACTTTAGAATGGGATTATATGGGAAAGTTATTTCTGTTGTCAAAGATAGGCCAAATAAATCTTTTTCTCACCTCCAGTCACCCATCAAGGGTTACCAGTGCAACTTTAAAGCAAAACAAACTTTCCAACCAAAGTTTGTATTTACTGACAAAACAGATAATTTAAGAACAATCTGCAGAAAGACCACATTAATCACTAACATACTGTCACATATTCAAATTTCATTCACCTCCAACTTATAATTACAGAGTTCCCAAGGGTTTCCATCAAAGATTACCACTAAGGATTAAGTATGGAGCAACAAACTATTAAGAAACATTATTCTTGATATCACTGACTGTTCAAAGCAAACCAAAATTATTGGCCATGCCTCAGTAGGGCGTGTTTAATTTTTCAACTTTCAAATTCAAAAAATGAGGGGTGCTAAAAAGCTGCAAGGACATGGGAACTCAAAATATATTAATATATTTTAGTTTTGCCTGGAAAGTAGTATGTGTGCAAAATTGTATAGAAATCATTAAAAATGATTGTCAAGTATTCGCAGTTATATTACCTGACATTTTCAGAAGATAAAATAAAATAAATGTTTTCAAAAAGTAATTTAAATGTTGCCCAATCACAAAAATAATAGATTTAAATTCCTTGCACCCAAAAACTTATTTTTAAGACTCCTCACTAAAGAAATTTGCAAAAATTAAGTTTCATCTCCTAAAATGACATGCCCTAATGACTCAGGCCGGACCATAAAGTACTACAGACAGTTAAACAAGCTACAGAGAAGGGATAGTACCTTATACAGAAATAAGTGTACTCAATTGCCATATTTCAGGGGCCTAGCTACTAACATCTGATACATCAATACGGATTGCAAGCTAGGACCTGTGCCCTGGGAAAGGCCTAGAGAGCAAGATGAGGTGCTTTTAAGGGCAGACTCCAGCAAAGGAAAAAAGAAACAGAAAGTTGCAGATACAAACACCCTGCTTACAATTCAGATTGTGGGGGAGCAAGAACTCGTATATTGCAATGCTAAGCTATGTTCATCCAATGTAAACTATAAAAACATTAGGACCCCCATCCCCACCCCAGAACATACAAGAAAATATAAAAACAAAGCAGCAACTTATCCAGTGGGCAAGATCCACCTTCTACAAGACCCCTCCTTTGTGGAACTCTGTTTTGCCACCTGCTTTCAGGTAACCCAAATGCCCTCCCTGCACAAAACCACAGCAGTTCAAGAAGTCACAGTTTAGAACTGGCATGAGGAAGATTTTTTATCAGCATTCGGAGTGCAGCCCGCAGAAGAAGTGCAATGCACTTAAAAGCTGTACACTGAAATAAGAGGATAATTTGGTGGGGAAGCATATGCAGCCCTTGGCCCTGGGGGGAAAGCGAAAGGAGGAACCCATTTAAGCCCATAAGGAAAACTCCATCAGATCAGGCTATGGGCCAAATGCCTATACAGTGGTACCTTCGATTACATATGCTTCAGGTTACATACGCTTCAGGTTACAGACTCCGCTAACCCAGAAATTGTGCTTCAGGTTAAGAACTTTGCTTCAGGATGAGAACAGAAATCGTGCTCCGGTGGCGCAGCGGCAGCAGGACCCCCTTTAGCTAAAATGGGGCTTCAGGTTAAGAACAGTTTCAGGTTAAGTACGGACCTCCGGAACGAATTAAGTACTTAACCCGAGGTACCACTGTAGAGAGCACCACTAGCTGGGCATGAGGGCACCCCCCCCCCACCCACTATGCTGCCTGTCCTCAGCTTCTGGCGTCCAGCAGAATGCTGCCTCTGACCACGGAGGTTCCACAGGGGCACCGACCACCTCACCCTCCGCAAACCTGACTGAACCCCCGCCCCGCTTTCAAGCCCTCCAAACCGCGATGCCAGAAGCGGCTCCCTTCTCCCGGTCCCCCAGCCGTTCAGCAACCCGCTCCGCCGCCTCAGAGAACCGGCAAGGCGGCGGGGAGGGGAGCCGTGGTCGCCCCCCCGGCCAGCCCACCCCCGACCCCCCGCAGCCCCCTTCGCTGGCACTGACCCCGCCCGCGGCCCCTCGCTCTCCGCCCTGCCCGGGCCGAGGCAGGGAAGAGCGGCCGGGCCGACGCGGAGTCCAGCGGCGCACGGGCCGCGAGCTGAGGTGGGGCAGCCCCGGAGCCGCCACCGCCGACGATGCCGCCGCCTCCTCCTCCTCCTCCCGCCGCCGCCACCGACGCTCCCGCGGACAGCCAGGCGGACAGCAGGCAGCCCTTGTCTTCCGTTTCCGGGTGACCCAGCCCCGAGAGGGCGCCTTGCCGAGGGAAGCCGCTCATGCTTTCCCGCCCGCTGCCCATCGCCCGGCTCCTCCCGCCCGGCCCGGCCCCCGGAGGCAGCGCCCCGGCTCTGGCCCAAGTGGCGGCAACGGCAGCCTCCTCCTCTTCCTCCTCACCGGAAAAGGGGGCCGCCAATCACTTCCGGGGCGAGGGGGCGGGGCCTGGACACTAAAACTTCCGGGGCGCCCGGAGAGATTACGGCTGGACAGAGGGGCCCCTCCCGAGTCCCCCCCTCTCGCGCGCCGGAAGTGACGCGGACGGTGGCCGAAAGCCGGAATTCCAAAGCGGAGGGCGGCGGGCGCGACGGCGGCAGCGGGTCTGGCCGGGCGGCTTCCCTCAGCCACGGGCTTGAGGCCGGGCTTCCCCTGCTCTGGAGAGGCCGCTGCTTTGCTTCGTTCTTGCTTCTGTTATGCGTGTTGTTGTTTTGGCTTGTGTTTTTTATGTGGTGAAGCGCCCCGAGATCTACGGGTAAAGGGCGGTGCAGCACAGTGGTACCTCGGGTTAAGTACTTAATTCGTTCCGGAGGTCCGTTCTTAACCTGAAACTGTTCTTAACCTGAAGCACCGCTTTAGCTAATGGGGCCTCCCGCTGCCATTGCGCCGCCGCCATGCAATTTCTTTTCTCATCCTGAAGCAAAGTTCTTAATCCGAGGTACTATTTCTGGGTTAGCGGAGTCTGTAACCTGAAGCGTATGTAACCCGAGGTACCACTGTATTTGCTGCTGCAGTACATGGTGTTGTATTTTGGGAATTATCCAGTGTGTTTTTTCTGTGGGGATGCTGGGGGACGCGTACCCCTAAACGTTTTGTGCATCTAAGTTTGGCCTCATTGAGAGGCAGTATTTCAATAGAAAGGAGAGTACAGTGGTACCTCAGGTTACAGACTCCACTAACCCAGAAATAGTACCTCAGGTAAGAACTTTGCTTCAGGATGAGAACAGAAATCACTCGGCGGCAGCAGCTGGAGGCCCCATGAGCTAAAGTGGTGCTTCAGGTTAAGAACAGTTTCAGGTTAAGAAAGGACCTCCGAAACGAATTAAGTACTTAACCCGAGGTACCACTGTATACAGATTTAGTAAGTAAATAAATAGTAATAGCTGCCCCTGTTAAAGCTATGGTTTTCCCAGTAGTGATGTATGGAAGTGAGAGCTGGACCATAAAGAAGGCTGATTGCCGAAGAATTGGATGCTTTTGAATTCTGGTGCTGGAGGAGACTCTTGAGAGTCCCATGGACTGCAAGAAGATCAAACCTCTCCATTCTGAAGGGAATCAGCCCTGAGTGCTCACTGGAAGGACAGATCCTGAAGCTGAGGCTCCAAGACTTTGGCCACCTCATGAGAAGAGAAGACTCCCTGGAAAAGACCCTGATGTTGGGAAAGATGGAGGGCACAAGGAGAAGGGGACGACGGAGGACAAGATGGTTGGACAGTGTTCTCAAAGCTACGAACATGAGTTTGACCAAACTGCAGGAGGCAGTGGAAGACAGAAGTGCCTAGCGTGCTCTGGTCCAGGGGGTCACGAAGAGTCGGACACAACTAAAGAACAATAGCTGCCCCTGAGTTAAATTAGTAAAGAGGCCTGGCTCACTCGCATTGGCTTCCAAGGGGCTCCTCGGCTCTTTTCTCCAGGCCTTTGGCCAGATAGTAGAGTGATTGATGCAGGCGGGGTGGGGGTGGGGTGGGGGTGGAACTCTCTTTTTCTCCCTCTCCGCCCCCAGTGGAATATCTTGGATCTCTTTCTCGAGCTCTGTCTCTCAGCTGCCCGTTTAAAGCAAACGCTAACCTTTTATCTCTCTGAGGTTACTCAGAATATAAGCGGGAAAGGCATTTCTGCCTCACGGGCCAGGAAGAAGCAGTCTCTAGTCCTGCCCTGTAGGGTGTTTGTTATTAAAGGTAAAGGTACCCCTGCCCGTTCGGGCCAGTCTTGCCAGACTCTAGGGTTGTGCGCTCATCTCACTTAAGAGGCCGGGAGCCAGCGCTGTCCGCAGACACTTCCGGGTCACATGGCCAGTGTGACAAGCTGCATCTGGCGAGCCAACGCAGCACACGGAACGCCGTTTACCTTCCCGCTGGTAAGCGGTCCCTATTTATCTACTTGCACCTGGGGGTGCTTTTGAACTGCTAGGTTGGCAGGCGCTGGGACCGAGCGACAGGAGCGCACCCCGCCGCGGGGATTCGAACCGCCGACCATGCGATCAGCAAGTCCTAGGCGCTGAGGTTTTACCCACAGCGCCACCCGCGCCCCCCTTGTTATTACAAGGGGGCGTTGTTATTACAGGGGGGCAATTTTTTGCATGGGGGTTCAGTTCCTGGCCGCTGTGTGTGTCGGTGGAGCACGTATAAGCCCCTTCCGCCCTCATCCAGGTCCAAAAGGACTTGCGCTTTGCCAGTCACTTGTCATTTAGATGTGCCGAAAATGGTTACCACCTGTATTATTATTGCCTAATAAATACAAATGCATTGGAATGGCTGGCAAACACTGGGATGCCTATGTCTTGTTTATTTTAAAAATATGTTAATAATATACAGAAGCAGATTTAGGGTACTGGGTGCTGAGTTGAGCAGAGCATCGTGCAGAACAAAATGAGAGTTGTGGGGGAGGCACTGAATTCAGGTCTTGCACAGGGTGCTGCTGAAATTTGAAAGACTAAAGTCTGTACCTGCTAATAAGGTCTGTGTTTTTCAGCTCTTGTATTGTAAACTGCCATGTGATCTTAGGATGAAGAGCGGTGTATAAACCAAAGAATAAATATATCTTAATACAGTGAAGTAAATCATTTCCCTTGTATCTAGAGTCCAACTGTTCTGCAATGGATCCAGCGCCAGTTGCATATTCTTCGTCTCTGACCCTTCCCTCCATTTGTGGCTACGGGTCTGTCACAAGACGCCAAATGGTCTGACTTCAATGCAGTTGCTTCAAATAGGTCTTCTGGAATCAACAGAATATTTCTGAAGCAAATCAATGCACACTAAAAGCGCTTAATGTCTTATTTTTCTGCCTGTTGGAAAACTAATAAATTGTTATGGGGGGAACTAAGGTGGTAATCAATAAATGAGTGTTGATATGTTTTAAACAAACATTCTGTTTTGAAAGGGGACAGTGAACTAAAAATACAAAGATGCAAAATGCCTTAGATGCTGCTGTAGCTCTTCCAACAGCTATTTTTGAATTTTTTATAAAAATACAGAAGAGTCCCCTGCCAGATGTGCTGCCTAGGAACCAGGGCCAGGCTGCACCATATGGTTTGCTTCCTAGAGAACAGGATACCTCCATACCTGGGCTGCAGGACAATTTGTAGTTCTTTCCTCCACCATTCATCCTGTACAGTAGGGATAGGGAACAAGTATAAATACACAACATGGTAAGAACAACTTCCCATCAGTTCATTTCATAACAGCATTGCAACATCACTGCAAGATGATGATTTGAAATAGGGCCTAATAGATTAATGTATGGCAGCAAATCCTACCATACATACACACCTTGATCTAAAGAGTGGAGTAATCCCTACTCGTTCTCAAAATTCTACAGAAGTGAGCACTAATTTAAGAAATGGAGGTGGAGGGAAGGAGAGTATACCTGTTTCTAAGCATATGTGTGTTCTTGTGAGCTCTGAATGAAGGTCATCGTTGGAGCTAGGAGAGCCACTGATTACAAATTTTAGGATTCCTTCCAGGCATGTCCAAAGTCCGTTTCGGGGACCTAATCTGGCCCCACCGGTTGGTTTAATCCGGCCCCTGTGGCAGTTTATTTCCTGGAGTAAAATCCCAAAAAACCCAACTTCAATCCTAAAAAAGTTCAACAACTTTGGTCGGCCCTCACGCATGTTCACTTCATCAAATCTGGCCCTCTTTGAAAAAAGTTTGGGCACCCCTGCTTTATACCCTTCTGGTCAAGGCATGCAAGTAGAGAGGGGAGGGGCCTTGAGATGAACAGATGGTTTTATTGTGCTTTTGAATTTATCCCAGAATTTCTTGCCTGCTTCGCCCATCTTGCAAGTTCAGTGTTTTGAGTGAAAGTCATCCTAGTGACCTGAACTGGCTACCTTTTGCCTATTGTCTGCCTCACCATTTGGGAGTCTGAATACAGCATACTTGGCAACTTTATTTACATGCATTGACCTTTATGAAAAGTGTGAGGAACTCGGGATATGCCTGAATGCCTTCAGGATGTGTTTGGGGTTGAGGCTGGTATCAGACTTCTACCAAGATCAAGCAAGGTTCACGATGCAGAATCTCATGTCCTATTTATGTCAAATCAATCTATATACTTCTACTATGAGCTTCAGAGATAAACCATAGACATAAGCTCCGATTCACACACCTACTCACAGTTTCACTCTTTGGCTCCGCTCGCTGAATGAACTCTCCTTTTGCTTTTTGTGCTGCTGAACGTTTTAGCACATTTCTTGCTTTTAAAATTTGTGTATTCATTTTATGATCGTCGTGCATTGCTTTAGAGCCCCTTAAAGCCAAAACACAGCTTGTACATTTTAATATGAATAAAAGTGCAAATGATGTCTGCAGGGAACCGAATTGTACCAGCCTAGAAGATGGGATACAGCAAATGTTATTAGCAGTCCCAAGTCATTTTGCTACCTGAAACAGAATTCACATCCCACTATGTAACATGGAACACAAATCCCTGGGAAATTTTCTTGCACAAGTCTCACTGAAACGAATTTGGGCTACATAACTTGTGCATTTCAGTGAAGCCTATGCATGAATTATGTAGACAGTAGAAAGGGGGATAGCATTTTAAATTCTGTTTCAGGCACCACCATGACTTGCCACAGAGGATGACTTCAAATGTGCCTCCCATAGGTCACATTTGTCTTTCTCCCATTCTTAAAAACTGGCTGTTAGCCATGACACCCATATGGAACCTCAAAGACCAGAGTTCCCCTCTGCTCGATGGCCAGGCCAGCAACAGGACACAGGTATTGTCCAATCCTAGTGGGCTACAACCTGCAAGGGGGCGGCAGAGGCATTGAGCTGAATTCACCTGACCAGGAAGAGTGCAAGTGTCTTTTGCAAACACAGCCTATCCAATGAACAGTGAGATGTTCCTTGAGGACGTCTGGACACCATAATGGCTCATGAGAATTCCCTCCAACAATTGCTTGCACTTGTCACTTACCTTTTGAAGGAGCTACAGGGATCATGGCAGGCTGGTGGGAACAAATTTTATGACACAAAAGAAAAGGGTCACATGAATAAATGTTCAATTACTATTTGCTGATCTTTGATTTTGCTGCTTACTATTATATTCTAATGGATTATTGAATATTGCTTGATTTGATACGTTGTCTATTTTAAAGTTATTGTGACTTTTTGGTATTGGATCAGGTTCTTACATGTGTGATCTTTGCTATTTTGTTGTTTCTTCAGCTTTTGAACCGCCTTGTGTATAGCAATATAGAAAGGCAGTATACAAATTAAAAGTGAAATGAAAATGAACAATTATATAAATTATATATCTATAGCTAATAAATTACAGAATAACAATTATATAAAACAATGTTCTAAACAGAACAGAGCAGCTTTTTGCTTGCTTTTGTTTTATAATCAGTCTATATGTATGAATTCACCAACATCAAAAGGGGGAAGTGGTAGAAGCAAATGCTTTTTAATAAAAACTTGTGACAAGTGAGGCAAACCCCAGATCACAAGCGAAGAAGAAAAAGATGAAGATGATGAAGATGAATGAATTTTGATCATATCAACAAATGGGGAACTGCAAAGGAAATAGCTTTCTTTTGAAGCATAAGCCAGAAAATGATGGATATTAGAAGGAACCTTCCCATGGGCTTATTTCCTTAGCTGTCATAATCAATATTTTAAAGCTGTTGCCTTTCACCATAATAAATGCAAAAGAGATGATAAAGGAAGAGGAAGAAAATGCATAAATTTTAGATTAAAAGCAAAGAGCTGATATATTTTAACTACAGAAAGTAAGCATGTAGCCCCTTTATATATTGACTATTAATACATCTAGATATATATATATATATATATATATATATATATATATATATGCAGGTTTTGGTGTCCTCGGGTGTCTTCCCGTGTAAAAGTTGGGGTGTCTAGGCGACGTTTCGACGAGGTCTCACTCGTCATCTTCAGGCTGGTGCTTCCGGCTTCTTGTTACTGGAACAGAGCAGGATCTCAGTGTTTGAGTTCCTATAAATACTGTTGAGGAGGTGTGGTGTATAGCCTCCAATGTTCTGGGCAGAGAGGAAGTTCCCAGGCTAGTGTGCCTTTTCTTCTTTTGTTCCTTAATTACTGGAGGGATATCTGGAGTGATTTCTTGAGTGATATCCTGAGTACCACTTGGGTGGGTCATTAGGTGTGGATTAGTTGCTAAAGCCTTCGTGTCTTGACCTCTTGAACTTGGCTTGAACTTGGCTCTGGCTTGGCTTCGTGTATAGGGGCGAGCTGTGGTTTTGTGGCCTGTGCCAGCCAGATCTGTGTAGGGATTGCAGGGGGGTGCAGCATCCGGAGGTTCCACCATGGTTTGGCAACTGGATGGTGTCTGTAATTTATCTGTGGAGAGGGTCTGGGTTTGGGTCTGGTGTGGTTGATTGGTGATGGCGTTCTGTGTGCCTCTGGATCTGGTGTCGGTTTTTGTGGGGAGGGCTAATTTCCAGATGTCTGGCAAGCGGGATGTGTCGTCACGCTTGTTCATGTTGTGAGGGTGTTTCTCTATCTCGATGGCTTCCATGATTATTCTCTTGTGGTGATGTTCCATGTTAAAGAGCAATTTGGAATCTGCAAAATTAATTTCGTGTCCTGTTTCTTTCATGTGTTGGAAAAGAGAGGAAGTTTTTTCTTCTTTTTTGACGGCATTCTTGTGTTCTGCGATACGTGCATTTATTCGTCTGTTTGTTTGTCCAATGTACGTGGCTGGGCAGACTTTGCAGGGTATTTCATAGACCCCTTGGTTTTCCAACTGGATTCTATCCTTGGGGTTTCTGAGGATATTGGCTATTTTTTGGTTGGTGCAAAAATAGCCAATATCCTCAGAAACCCCAAGGATAGAATCCAGTTGGAAAACCAAGGGGTCTATGAAATACCCTGCAAAGTCTGCCCAGCCACGTACATTGGACAAACAAACAGACGAATAAATGCACGTATCGCAGAACACAAGAATGCCGTCAAAAAAGAAGAAAAAACTTCCTCTCTTTTCCAACACATGAAAGAAACAGGACACGAAATTAATTTTGCAGATTCCAAATTGCTCTTTAACATGGAACATCACCACAAGAGAATAATCATGGAAGCCATCGAGATAGAGAAACACCCTCACAACATGAACAAGCGTGACGACACATCCCGCTTGCCAGACATCTGGAAATTAGCCCTCCCCACAAAAACCGACACCAGATCCAGAGGCACACAGAACGCCATCACCAATCAACCACACCAGACCCAAACCCAGACCCTCTCCACAGATAAATTACAGACACCATCCAGTTGCCAAACCATGGTGGAACCTCCGGATGCTGCACCCCCCTGCAATCCCTACACAGATCTGGCTGGCACAGGCCACAAAACCACAGCTCGCCCCTATACACGAAGCCAAGCCAGAGCCAAGTTCAAGCCAAGTTCAAGAGGTCAAGACACGAAGGCTTTAGCAACTAATCCACACCTAATGACCCACCCAAGTGGTACTCAGGATATCACTCAAGAAATCACTCCAGATATCCCTCCAGTAATTAAGGAACAAAAGAAGAAAAGGCACACTAGCCTGGGAACTTCCTCTCTGC